CAGACGTTAGTTCTTTTAGAATGCACATGCTACCTGCACAATTAAAGCTATACTTTATCTGCTGATACCTACATGTTTTCTTTTTAATTGAGGGAATAGGAATTTCTTTTTGGAGGAGTAAATCTCAGGACATTTCAGGAGAAGGCATTTTGTTGCATGTTTTAGACAGCCAGAGGGCAGTATTTAGTCACCATGTCTCACTTATCTAAAGTGTTCAGGAAGAGAACTGTGGCAATTTGATTAATTTATATTTTTGCCCCCCAAAATTGTCTTGCTTTGCACACAAATCAGAATTTTTGAAGAGGTAATATAGCTTGTGGGACTTTGGGCCATTTGCTTAACTTCTGTGGGTCTCGGTTTTTGCATCTGTATAATAGGAATAATAATAGTACCTATCTCATATAGTTTAAATGAGTTAACATTGAATGTGTAAAAGGGTATAGAACATAATAAACCCTGTATAGGTATTAACTTAAAAGAACAGTCACAAAAAGCGCCTAGGTCTTAGAGGTGAAAAAATTCTTGAGACTGCCTTCTTTTTTATTTTTAGCCTTACTCTCATTCCTATTCACCAGTTAATTTAAAAAATAAATAAATAAAATAATAAATGTGAATAGTTTAAAAGTTAAAACTACATTAGTTCCCTTTCCTACCCCTTCCCATCCCTAAGGCTTGCTCTCTCTTTTTAACTCCTTTAGTTATTTCTTTGTTGTTTGCCTCATTTTTCTAAAACACAGATTGCTGGGTCCCACTCCAGTGTTTCTCATTGAGTGGATCTTGGTTGGGGCCCAAGAATTTGCATTTTTAAAAAGTTATCAAGTGATGCTTTTACTGCTAGTTTGGGACCACACATTGTGAACCGCTGCTGTAGTCCGCAGATCCTATTGATTCTCAAAAAGAGGGTTTACTCAACTGCTAAAACTAAGCAATGAGCAGATAAATTGTTGAATGGCTTCATCCTGCATGTAGGATAAAGTTCAAACTCTATAGAATTTACCATCTAGCCCTATTCATCTTTCCATTTCTCACCTGATTTTAAAACCCCTTGTACATTTCAGAATTAGTGATCTTTTAGCATTTTTTAAAATGTGCAGTGATTTCTTATCAGTGGCTTTTGTTATGCTGCTCTCTCTTCCTGGAATTCCCTTCCCCAATTTAGCTTCCCAGCGATACCTTCATTCTCTTGTTGCTTTTTCATCACTGTTGTGCGCTTAAAGCATGTATATTTGATTCTGCCAGAGTACAGATCACACCATATTTTAACTGTTTACTTGTCTGTCTTTTGTTAGCTTGTTAGCTCCTTGGGAAGAAGGCATTGGTTTTTTTACATTTGATTATCACTGGCTTAGTATGGTTATTGGCATTTAATATGAGCTAACATAGATGTTTGACTAAATCAATGTAGAACAAATTTGGTGATTTGTAGGCCCCAAAGTGATGATTGCTTGGGTGTAGTTTTGTTAGCCTTAATATTAAGAAGCACATTTGCTTAAGTAGCAGCATACACTACCTTAAAACATATTATTCTGTCTGGATTTGTTAGGACCTGGTACTATCCAGATTTGGGTCTGAAGTCTTAGCTGTTTTAGGTTCCTTTTGCTTGACGGCAGCTGAGCTGGTAGGGGAAGCCCATGGGTTGCTCTAACAATCACACAGTTCCAGAATGGTGAGCATTTTGGTCATTTCCACCTGCCATCTCTGACTTTCAGGATCTTGCCTGTCCTTCAGGGGCCAACTGAAATGCCACTCCTGCAGCAAGCCTTCCTTGATTACACCAGGGAGATCTTTCTCTTCTCTGAAAACATGGTACCATTTATTGCCTGGCACTTGCTGTTTTATTTGTGCTTATTTGCATTAATATTTTATCTTCCTTTCTAGATTGCTAACTCCTTGAGGATTGTGAAAGTTTGGGGCCAAGTTTGGGAAGGGATTTTAAAACTATGCTACAGTGGTTGGACCTTTATTAGTAGGTAGATAAATCATTGGAGCTTAAGTTCAAAAAAAGAAAAGAGAAATGATTGTATCTGCATTTTAGAAATATAATCAGTAATAATGCACAGAGGTTGTGTGGGAGGCAGAAGGAACAAAAAAATCCCTGTAATATGGTTCTGATAAAAGATGACATTAGTGGAAAGGAAGCTCAAAGGGAAGGAACAGATGTTTTGGAAGTTCTGTTTGCTTCCTTGGTGACAGATTAGATGGGTGTGATAGAGAACACACTGATTCTGAGGCCGTTGATTAAAATGCTTTCAGTTACAATAAGAGAAAACCCATCTCAAACTAGTTTAAGCTATCAAGGAGATTTATTGACCTACGTAACAGGGAAATTCAGCACACTGAAATAGTTTCTCTACTGTTCTCTTAGCACCACCATCCTCATAAAGTTACAATAAGAGAAAACCCATCTCAAACTAGTTTAAGCTATCAA